CTTTAATATAAGTTTAACATAACAGCAAATGTACAACTTTTCGACAATGTTTTGTCATCATCAGGTTGAAACGTTGTACATTTGTGTTATGTTAAACTTATATTAAAGTTTCTCTTCATTACCCATTCAAGCCGTCTCCAACCATTATTAATAAAACAATGTATACAGCTTAATTATTGTTTGTTATTAAACAGTTTGTTATATTAGGTTGATACAATGCATTGGTGAAACCCCTGGCATAAAATATGGATGATTAAAACCCTGACATAAAATATGGATGATTAAACCCCTGACATAAAATATGAATGACTAAAACCCTGGCATAAAATATGAATGACTAAAACCCTGGCATAAAATATGGATGATTAAAACAATGGCTTTTTTGAGCCTACTTTTTACTAGAAAGAATTACAGTGAACTAATGAAAAAAATAAAGACTGAGAAAACCAAAAGCGGAGACTTGACTCCTACTGTACAAATTAGGAACACTACTTACTTCTTCCTCATGAGATTCATGAAACCCACGGTAACTTTTTCATGGAAGTTTCGAAGCTTCATTAGTTCTCTCATATGAAGGGCCTGTTACATAGAAGGATTATTTTAAGTGAATTTTAAACATGTCTCTAAATGCAAGTATTGTTTTTCTTTATACAGATTACTCAAAGTTATAAGACGAACTGTTGATAGTAGTTTATTGAACATCGTGTTAAAGGTGTCGTTATTATGAAATTGCTTGAATAATCAATAAATTTATGAATTTGTGGAGCAATCCAATAATCTTCGTTCAAAAAAACTCTTTAAAATTTATTAAGATTGAAAAATTTGATGCCTGCTAGTGGTTTTTAAATGTCTAATAGTGACTTAAAAGTTTTCAAAAACCTTGTAGCGGTCAAACATTCCTATTGTATATTATTCATTTCTAATTATGGAGTAAAAAATATGGATATTTTACACCAAACTCAGCTTCACCATCATATCATAACAAAATATAAAATAATATTACTAAATTAAAAATGGTAGTGACAGCCTTGATTTGGTATGTGTGTGCATTAAGGTGTTTGTAAATTATTTGGAAAATACAAAAGATCTCTGAAAGATGGCCTTTTTTGGTGTCATTTGATGTATTCAAAGATGATTACAAAATGATGGCTTTCTGTTGTTCTAAATTATCCTTTCCAAATTAAAAATGGCCAATTTTAGTGTATGTTTATGAAAGGGTTTGTAAATGATTTGGAATATACACAAGATCTTCTGAAAGATGGCCTTTTTTGGTGTCATTAAGTCTGCTCAAAAATGACTATTAAAATGGATTTCTTATTTTAAAATATTCTTAGTACGTTAAAAAAATGGCTGTGTCCGTCAGTTTTTTTGTATGTTTGTGTGATTTTAAAATATTCTTAGTACGTTAAAAAAAATAGCTGTGTCCATCAGTTTTTTGTATGTTTGTGTGTGTCTGTACGGGGTTCATTAAAGATTCTGAGAATACATAAGTACTCCTGGACAGGTTAGTTTTAGTGCTATTAAGGGTACTCAAAAATTACAATTGAAAGTAATGGATTTCTTGAGTTTCTCGTATTATATAATAAAAACACAGTTCGATTCAGTAATGTTTTATGTGTGTGTATTAATGAGTGTGATGATAATTCATATATCAGTATTAATAACCAACAATGATTAAACTATATACATTGTTTTATTAGGTTGATACAATGCATCAGTGTAACAAACTGTTTAATAACCAACAATAATTAAGCTGTATACATTGTTGAGTCATTCATATTTTATGCCAGGGGTTTTAGTCATTCATATTTTATGTCAGGGGTTTAGTCATTCATATTTTATGTCAGGGGTTTTAATCATCCATATTTTATGCCAGGGTTTTAATCATCCATATTTTATGCCAGGGTTTTAGTCATCCATATTTTATGCCAGGGTTTTAGTCATTCACATTTTATGCCAGGGTTTTAGTCATTCACATTTTATGCCAGGGTTTTAGTCATTCATATTTTATGCCAGGGTTTTAATCATTCGTATTTTATGCCAGGGTTTTAATCATCCATATTTTATGCCAGGGTTTTAATCATCCATATTTTATGCCAGGGTTTTAATCATCCATATTTT